TAATAGTACCCCTTAGTTTCTTAATGGAATTCGTCATACTCGAACAGTAAATTATACGCTCCATGTTTTAAATGCTAATTGATGATATTAGAAAATTGCAATCGCTTTAATGCCTGCTGTGCAGTTTAGAGAGGCAGGGGAGAGGGCGTAATTTGAGAAGGGCATCAAAAAACCGGCTACACCATTAATATCGAAAATATGAAGTGTGCAGGCAATTGACGTTGGTATCTGGCCATCTATCTATCTGCCTATTGTATTATCTAATTTTACAACATAATCTTGTGTGGTTTGCAACGCCTTTTTCTACTACCGTTTGATTGGCTATGCTGCTTGATTAAATTTTGCATATGTATGATATAGTCATCAGTCGCTTTCTTTGGATAATGTCAGCTTGATGGCAGACGCTATTATGACATGCGGCTGTCCAAAGGCGCGACCGGGCCACTCACTCACGAAATCAGTCAGACATTTTTGATTAGTGGCAACAAATTAGCGAACAAAGCAAACGTGCTGTAGACAGACAGACCTCCAAACAAACATAGGTACATCCATCGATTCAGTCATTGTGGCAAGTAAGTGAGTGTTGTTCATGGAGGCAAGTTGGGTGGCAAACTTTTTCTTCTACAGCCCCCGGGTTTGGCGAATAAAACGATTGATGGTCATGGCAAACACACGAAAAACTGTTCGACAACTTAAATGCATATAAAACAAGACAACAGCAAATCAACGATAGTTTCTTTTATGTGCCTATTATAAAATAAATATGTTCAAAGCTAATAATTTAAAATGCAAATGGGTTATGTCCAATATTCATACAACTACTTTAGTTGGCAAAGGTCCGCGCCCCGCTATTTAAAGGTGTGAAATATGAGCGGCCACAGATTCGAAACGCATCGAATGCGTAGAAAACAAGTATGATTTTGAAGGCTGCAGCTGAGGATGAGGAGGAAGAGCTAGTTGTTGGCTAAAACATACAAACATACGCATACACAGATTTGTCAACGCACTCTGGCTTCTCATTTGCATACGCTTTGGGGGTCGCATGCTGCTCATTTGATACGGATCTCCAATTTGTCTTGGGAATTATGTATCATCGTCGTCGTCTTGAGTCTCACTCCGGCCAGCTGGACAATGCACACTCAACAAGCCAGCGATTTCATTTTCGTTTGTCAATTTTTATTTCAGATTAAACAAAATGGCTTTTTAATAAGCCAAATCAATCAAGCAACCGCTGTCCAAACCGCTGCTTGGCTTCAACTAATTGTGCTGCATGCTTTGTGCCACACCCACCCACCTACGCCCACTAGGGGGCTGCTGCATTCGACTGCGTTGCATTCATTTTGTGGCTACTGCCACCGATCTTTAATGACATGCATTGTTCGCCGCTGAGCCGCCTGAACTCTTACAAACATCTTTTGTTTTCATCTGTTATTCGATTTCAAGCATACTTGGTTGTGGTTTCTTCGCTAAAAATACAAAAAAAAAACAAAAAACACTGACGGCTGTCGATTTAATTGTTGAAAATATCAAAGTGATGGTTCCGACACAATTACTATATGCATTTATGTGATTGAGCAGCCACAATTTCCACACAATGCCAGAATTACTTAGAGCTATCGAGAGGGGCCCGAATTGGGGGAGAAAATGTGGCCTATCGGGCGCGCGTTGTTAGCTTCTAAGCAATTGGTCAAGGTACCTGGTTACGCCCATTTTAATTATGTCCAATTACGATATGGCCCATGGCATTTCATTTAGCGGCAATTTCAGATTTCTCAGACCAATTTCATACTCACTTTGAGCTGGGCATCCGTCTCATAAACAACAAAATGCCGAGACATTTCAATCAATTATGCCATGCCCAAGCCCAAATCCGCAGACCCGTTTTATGTAACGCGAATGCCGCGATGGACGTTAAATTTCGATTCGACAACTAAAATCATAAATCTTCCCGAAATTTTATTTCTTTTTTTCTCTGTTGCCACAACTTGGCGTACATTGAATTATTGTTAAGGCTTGTTTGTTTTCATTTTGCCTGGCGTTTGGTTATTAGCATTTCGATTTTGTTCATACCCTTTTCCCGCCCAATAAGTAAAGTATTCTAAGACCATAATAGCGTATGTAACGCAAATGGGCTTGGGTTCATGTACTCTATACTTATTATCCATGCCTACCTTTCAGTTAGTCTTTTTATTGTCCATTGGAAAATAAGGCGTTTTGTTGTATTGCAAGTATTGGTCGATCCGTAAATGGTAATATACGATCGACGATTAAAGGTGAAACAGAATGCTAAGACTATAGGTATGTCAAATGGGCTTTTAGAAGTGGCTATGTCCTTTGATATGTATGGTACTGGGCCAATCATTACAGTCCAGAGAAAGTGGAGTCGGATAGGATCGGAGCCATTCAAAATTGACTCTGGCTGGTTAATGCTAGAGTTTTTAGCTGCAAACCTAGCAATTATTATCACCATCAATAACAGACAGTACATTATTAACAAATACTACTACATATTTTACTCCAACAATCTGTTCTTGTTCTTCTTCTTAATTTTAGTGACCGCTTTTTAAAGCGAAAGCAGCGCAGCTAATACAAGAAGAGTTCTGGGTTCCATATTTGACAGCCAGGCTCTTTTATTATTTTCTCATAATTCAAATTATTAAAATTATGAGTATGATATGTATGATATTGAAAATTATATTTCTGTATGTAGACCTATGTACAACAGCTACATTTGGAATGCAGATATAGGTAACACGAGTTGATTCATTCTTTCATTTCAATTCATAGTTTCCCACGCCTCATATTTTTCTGCTGCTGTGCGGTGCCTTTTTCATTTATCTTACAAATATAAACACCGTAAATATTGTAAATATACAGCCGATTTACTTACCCATATCAGGCAAAACTGCAAGAACTATAGACCTAATTCTGTATTTACACGGTCTATTTTTATACGGTTTTAATTAAAACGGTGTGAAATTTAAAAATGTTGTATATGGTTACACGATTTATTCCATTTAGCCCGATCCATTTTGCATATGATCAATGTCTTTTTTTACACGACTTTTTTAGGAACCAATCTACCGTGTGAAAACAGAATCAGTTGTATACTTGTAGATCGTTCTATTCACGACAGCCACAAATTTCGAAGTGTATTTGAAAGTCGACCCGGCTCGATTCTCGCATTTCATCTGGTTTCCTTTTATGTGGCCAGCTTAACGCGTCAATACGCAAGATACGAGTTGTAGGTGGCGCTGCTGCGCCCACGTAAGGCGGCGTGTGAAAACCAATCGGCCTCACTCACGTCACTCTCTGGGGCAAGACAATGTGCCACGCACAAAAGGTCACTAGTTTGGTTTGGCACGTTTGCTTATTGTGCCACGTCGCATAATTTTTCAACGCATCTGTCATAAGTCTAGCATGGAAGATGCTTCGCTGGCTAGTTGAGGGAAGGGGACCAACAGGGACTACCCGCTTGATTTTTGAACAGCTAATGACATATGACAGGCATTTTCAACACATCTATAAATTGTTCGCCTTTATTAGCTTTGAAATACAATACTCTACATGCGTACACATAAAAGTCTTACAAATCAATATCAATATATATGTATGTATATATAGATATTTGTGTGTGTATGTATGTAGTCGAGTGCTACATCATGGTGTACAGGTATATTAAAAATAAATCATTTCTAAGAGACATTGAGAATACACTTAGCAAAAAACATTAACACACGCGTTCACACACAACACAGACACACTCACATTGAGCACAATATTGATAAACGTGTAAAGTGTAGATACATATGTATGTATGTATGTGTGGGTGTGTGTGTGTGGATATATATTATCGCTTTTAAGTATTTTACACCAATTACAAAAACAAAAAAAAAGTAATTATGGCACTGTCAAAATTTGGTCTCTGTTCAGTGTCAGCTCAAAAGAATTTCTCAGCATTAGTTCTCTAGTCGAGCGCTCGGCCGAAGGTCATATAATGTGAAGGTCATCTCGCCGTCCACCCAAATGTCTTTATATTTATTGCGCTGAACATATTAAATATTATTAATCAAATGCCGACTAAGCAGACAACGTCTGTATGGAAAATGAAGGCAAATGTTGTATTATTAAATTATCAATTAATTTGCTAGAACATGAAGTAAGTAATAAGTTGGTCTTTTCTTCAAAAACTGTCTGCTGCCAGTGCCTTAAATATGAAGCTAGCTCCTACATATTAGCGCCATGCATGACTTAGTTTGCAAACTTAACTCAACACTAAAATATGCAAACATCAAAGCAGTTACCAACAATTTAATATCAATGCATTATTAATCTGAATTGCATTCATTTGGCTAATTCATTCTATTCTTTAATTTGAATAGCAATTGATAAGGTAAGAAATTTTCGGCAGACTTCAAATAATTCAGTCTCACTTCATTAAAGACGCTAAAGTCTGTGCAAGACTGCCAAATAAACCATTCTAGTTTCATTATTTTAATATTCCAACAGTCCGTCTGATCTGCCAGAGTTGGTATGTTTCGTTCCGAATTTTTAATTTTATTTAATTTATCGGTTTCTTGACTTGTTTAGTTTATTTAGTCGAAGAGTATACGTTTCATATAAATCCGAACTAATGGCTTCAAAACTAAAGTAACAAAGAAACTTAAACGGCTCTATACTTTTAACAGTCAAATGATTAGATTAAAGGAAAACAATGTGGTTTTACTTAAAAAAAAGTGCTCTTGAGTCATGAAACCAAATATTAATCATTTATGAAACAAATGCAAAAAAAGAGATTTAGTTAAGAAATCAAAGAGTAACAATAGAATAGTTACTTTAATAGTATATGTCGGCTCTTAAAATAACACTCATCAGTATCAAAATAGTTTTGGCATCATTCCATCTTTTTTGAAACAATTCAAAAAAAAAAAACTAATTTAGTTCACAGATTAAAAAATAATAATAGAACTATTTTAACAAAATGTATAAAAATACCTCTCTCCCCCTTTTAAATGTCTTTAATAGAGTGAGTCGGTTCTAAAACCAACACTCGTTCGTGTCTTTTTAACTCTCACCAGCAGTGCCCATTAAGTTGTTATTTTTCATGTTCCATCTCCATTAATATGTCGATTGAAAGTGAAAAATGAAGACTTCGATGCTATGACCAACCACATTTCTATGACCTCACACTCGGTTTTCATCTGATGCGTAATCCATCATGATTCCACATTTTCCCCTACCCTGTCCTATCACATCGGCATGCTTAAAGCTGGCTATTGGCTAGATGGTTATCAATCACCACCTGAATGATGCGCATGCAGTCTCGCTGTCGAGCCACTGTGTTGTCAATCAGCTGCTCTATAAACTGGCTCGCGGCTATGTTGGTGTTGGGCGGTATGTCCTGTGTGCAGGATATGTATTTGTTGAAAATCTCCGTGTTCAGAGAGGTCGCTAAATAGTTCTCCTCCTGTTCCAACAGCTTGTTGAGCACCTGTGCGGCAGCCAGCAACTGGTCCTTTCTCTTCTTATAGCTGCGAAGCTCCTCCAGGCTCGCGTAATCAGCGCTGTTCAGTTGTACGGCCCCCTCCCCCTCTCCATCCACATCCTTATTGGCCTTCTTTGTCAGCAATTGTCGTATGTGATACTTGCGCTCGGACACAAAATTTCCAAGCAGATAGCCTGAAAAACAAGATGCACTCGTTAGACACACTCAATGGCTTCTAATCAGCGCCACCCGCACCACTTACCGGCTATGAGCATGAAGAAGGCAATCGTCAGCACCAGGGAGGCGCAGGTCCGCTTTGACACATATTCGCGATACTCTCGCGAACTGTTCGCCCGCACCGCCGTCTCGTAACTCAGTACCTGATGCATTCTTTCAATTCTCCAATCAGTCAGCCCTGGATATGGCTCACTTATGTCTATGAGTTTGCGTCTCTACTTGTATGTATATATAGCTGTTTATGTGAGTGTGTGTGTGTCGCTTAATTACTGCTGTATGTGCGGTTGTTTATAGTTCTCGTCTTTAATTGTATAGCTTGTCTGTGGCGTTGTATAGTGTGGAACATTTTGTTGGCTCAATTGTACTCTGCTCTGTTTTTGATTCTCTTTCCTTCTGTTTTGTTTTGTTTTATTTTATGAGTCTGTTTTAGTTTGGACCTTATCTAGTTAATTACCAGAGTGCAACTGCAAAAAAAAGGAAAATTACAGCGATTACAAATGACAGCATTTTAATGAATGAAAAACTTTTAACGGCATGAGTTAAGCTATTTGGAGTGTAATAATCGCTTATGGCAGCCTGATAAAAAATAAATAAAAAGCACGAATCAGAAACTTTGTCATTTAAAGAGATTTCCAGTTCTGTAAAAATAAAGAAATGAGCATTCGAATACTTATCACAAAAATATGTATTTCTAATTTGATATTTGATATAGTTGAATTTTGATTAGTCGTGATGCTCGGGACAGAGCTCATTAAGTATCACTGAAAATCCTGGTCAAACTTTCTTATTATTCTTACAACAAGGTAATCAACGTTTACAAAAATATTCAATTGTCATTAATTAATACCTAATATGGATAAAAAATGGAAGTCGTGGAAATTATAGGTATTAATGCAATCACGGATACAAGAGGAGATTCAGAGTTAAAAGAGATATAAAATCAATGACACAGCATCACGGATAACAGAGGCAATGCATATTTCCAATCGAGGACATTACGATGTCTTGAATACACACACTTAGTCAAAGCTAAAAAATGATTTACTTCAAATAAATGGTTGACAAAGATGCACTTTTGAAGACTTAAATCGAAACTTAAAATGTGGGATAATTGGAAAACGCTTTAAGGCTGTTTTCGAACGTCTTTAGAATGAAAGCATTTGTAGAGCAACAGGCTTAAAGCACTAATGGCAATTGAAAAGTATAATGCTAGTGCATTGTCGATTATTTAAAAGGCGTACAACAATTACAATTAAAGGAAGTACTTGTATAACGTGAACGTCGTGCTAATCCGACTGTTAGATACTATTACAGCCAACAACAGATTATTTGCTAGAAATGTGAGCAATATTTCCTCATTAAAACTAGAGGTGCAAACGAAGAGATCTAGACTCTAGACATATAATTCCAGCAAAAAGTAACAACAACACTAACAGCATAACCATATTCTGAACAAGCTATAAGCTATAAGACTTAACGGATATGAAAGCGAACATGTATCAAGTGAATCAAATATATAATTCGGCTTGGCTGAAGTATGATTCAAATACCCTTTATCCACTCTTTTTTATGAAAATTTGTGTTATGATATCTTTATAAGCTAATCTTGATTTTTGCACCGATTATTTAATTGGTCTTATATTTCCTAGTTTACCCTTTTCTTCAATGCAGACCCGGGGCCGGAATACAATCCAACACAGCGAAACAGCGAGCTAAGTAGCAGGACCTTTATGGCTTTTCATTAAATTTGTGCATAAATATTTGAAAACCCGTCCACAAATATTCTTGAATAAATGCATTTCACTAAAATTACGCCGGAAGTCAATTATTCTGGCAGTAAAATGTGTCTGCCCATGCTTTTGGTTCGCACGCGAGTATTCGCAAGCAAAAACCTGCAGTCTATCCATCCGTGGATGTCACTCACTATTCACGCAAATGAATGCCCAATTTGTTCGGCACTCACATATTATTAATGGAAATCCATCAGCAGGTTTTTATCTTAATTAAAACTGCATTTTGCCAACGTTAAAGCCCATTAGGTAGAGTAACGAGCAAAAAAATAAACAGGATAAGTCCCCCCCCCCCCCCCCCCCCCCCCCCCGACCTTGTTGAAAAAAACATAATGGCGGCCAAAATTAAATTTTCGATGCTTGGTTAAAACATTTTCGTTGCGCTGTACGTTGCACACGGGGATGACCTTCGTTTGATCGATGTGGCAAGCCATAAAATGAACATTTTTAGCAAAATATTTTTCATGAAAAATGTTCAAAATGTGCGAAATTATTTCATATTCGCAGACAAACACTACGGGTACTTTGCTATCAAACAAAGTGGGCAGCTGCCAATAATATTCAGCCAGAAGCGAAGCCACAAACTAGTAGTTGCCCATGAATTTGATGATAAATTGCATTTTGTAACTTGCGTGGGAAGGGAAATAGGGTCGGACGGACGAACGGATGGGAGACGGGTAAGTTGGCAATGAGTTGGAGACAAAGCTGGTCAAAACAACCGCAAAAATTCGAAACGTGATTATATTTCATACGCTTTATTTGGCATGAAATGTGGTTGCGATAAATGTAAAAGGGCCACTGGGAGAATTGTGCAAATTTTGCTGTTACCTAATGGAACGACTTGTTATTCAAATTATTGCGATGCGAGTAGGTATGAAACCCCAGTATTTAATTTGTCAATCACTTGTAATCAGATTACATATTCATTTTTCAAAAGGTACATTATCATTTCCTATTATGTTTCAGGGAAGAGAAATAATTTAATAAACCTTGTATAACCTAATAGGTAATTAGTGTGTAATGTGAGTATGTACATATTTTCACAGGTTACCTCCTACAATCGATTTGTTACATTTTTGTGGATGTATATTCTATTAAAGTCGGAAAAGACATCGGTTGATCACTTTCCCCCTGACTACATGTTTCCCAAAGTATACGGAATGTTTCCAAAATTAGAGCTCAGAATTGATATTTTGGCAATGTGGTGTGTATTTCATAGTGGCTGAATAAGCCTTTTAAATGGCTTGAACGTCACATGGAAGCAAATAAAGCCGATACGGGAATCGTTGAAGGTTCAAAGCAAATGATCAGTAAAAAAATCATTCTCAAGAGACGACCGATGAGACGGTGTATTATCGTTCAACAAACGCTTCCTTCTTAATGATATTTGGGCCGGACCGCGCCAGAAACTTCCATTTCCGATAAATAATTCCCATCGAATTATAAAAGCAAATCAACATTATCTTGACATTTACCTTCATTTAATATATATTTTTTTTATTATGGTCTTTTTGGTTCTTTTATTCTAAGATTGATTTCAGGATCGTACACATTAATGTGCGAGAGCTTTCTTTTACTCCTTAATGACATCGTTCGAATGTTGAGTTTTTGGCAAGTTTAGGAAATTTGGACAGGATATCGATAAAATAAAAATATAACTAACGCTGTTACGCATCAATATGTAGCGCCACCAGAAAAGATGGAGTAGAAGTTTTTTTGAAAGATCATCATAGACTTGTAATTTGTATCAAGCATTTCTGAAGAATGTTTTTAGAAGTTATGTTTTAATAAATATAAACAAATCAAGTGAGAAGTTCAGATACCTAATGCTGCGATACAATATTCTTTAAAAAAAAAGTGAGCTTGCTACTCGACATAATATTCCAGATTATTCATGTTATTATTAATTGTTGTCCAATAAATAGATACTTTGGTGGCTTTATCAATATAAATAATTCAGATAATAAGATATTAAAATTAATTGGATACGTAAAATAAGGAAATTTATAAGCGCATAAGCTCCTCGCCTATCTCTGCCCTAATCACCATAAACTGCACACAATTTAAGCGCATACAACTGAAGCACATTAAATGCGAATGGATGAGTAAATGAAGGCAGGAGCCCTAGGGAACATGACTTCATCATCGTACCATCACATTCAAACACACACACATACACCCACACCTACACCTACACCCACCCACCAAAGTGTCAGTCAACGAACTCTCCCAGCTGGCTCCTTAGGCATGAAACAGCACAAATCAAGCAAGCCAGCGAGCACAGCTGGAAAGCCACCGTGCTAGTCCTCGGCACTCTTGAGTTTTGAATCTTTGTCAGGCGAGAAAGGCAAAAATAAAAGAAAACTTTCACTTACTCTGCTTTACAATAACAACAACAACAACAAGAACAACGGCAACAAATGCTGTGTCTGCATATCCTGCGAATTGCTTTTGCTGCCTCGGTTGTTTTGCATTTGTTTTCCTTTTTATTATTTTATTTTTGTACTCTGTAGCTCGATGCTCCTTGCGACCACTTGCTGTTCACTTTACGCGTATAAGTATGTACATAGATAATGCAAACGTGTGTATATACCGAAGTAGATATGACTTAAATACATGTTTAGTCCATTAAAATTAAAATGCTTTGGCAGGTGCTGCAATCACGCCACTTTATTAATTCAATGCTTTGAACTTGTTCTATAGGAATCCATACACCTATCTCTCTGATCTGAATCGACCGAAAAGCCACAGAAACGGAACCAGAGCGGCGAAAAGTATGCTATAAAAATGGCGCGCACGTTATGTTGTTGTTTGGTTCTGATATTTTTTGTTGTTGAATGCGGCACGGCTCGTTATCCTTGCCAACGGCGGGTGGCGTCTTATGTGTTATGCTTTGGCAACCGAATGGCGCACTGAACTTGTCGAGCAACTACATGCGGCTTTAATACCCCAACAGCTGTGGTGAGTTTCACAAAAACACACTCACACACACACACACACACACAGACACGCACACAAAAGCATGAAATCGGAAGCTCCTGCAAAAAGCGTTGTGTGCATTATTTGTTGTTGGCTGTATATGTCCGTCGCGTTGTTCATGCTAGGGTCAAGTTGAGATGCGGCAATGTTTGCCATATACTCGTAGAAATATAACTGGTAAGGGGAATAAGACAGACACATACACACACTCACTAGCAACTTGTTTGTGTCTCTTTGTAAGTACGAATATCGTCCGTTAGAAGTCGTATCGATTTACAAACAGCTGACAGTGTGCCGTGACGCGCCCCAAGCTGCTTACGGGCAACCAAACCAAACTATTTGTGTTAATCTTATCGTTTTGTTGGTCCGCTTTGCTTCCGTTCCCATTCCTCTCCTCCCCTCTCCTCCCACTCTACCCGTATTTGCTAGTCAATTACTTCAAGGATATCGCATATAGCCACATTTCCTCGTGTTTTGTCTCTTTGTTCGCCCCCCACTCTTAGCCCATCGCGGCGTACATTTGGCCTTTGCCAATCGCATTAGTTTACATGCACTTTGAAGTCGTAACTTAATGCCTCTAAGTGCTTATTACGCTTCTCAGGCCATTCATTAATCGGGCATTTCAAACGCCTCGTCTTCAATGCGTCATAATAACGCCTGTTGAGCCAAGTGGGTGTTATCCTTTGGCTGCCGGTGTTAAAAGCGGTCAAGAAATTAGTCTTCAATCGAAGCATTTTCATTTTTAGCTAGTTGTTCTGAAAAACTTGATAATTATATTAATAATATCTTTGGTTCATAAAATACATTAATTGTAGGTGTATTTTGCTAATTTTCAGATGTATTATTTCAAGCAATACGACAAGTACTAAATAGTACGCATAGTACAGGAAAAAAACATGAATAGCTTGCTACATTCAATTGAAATATGGGGGTTAACAAATCATTCATATTTTTATTTCTTCAAATCCTTGAAGCACTTCTGAAATGCACTTTTCGGTACGGCCATCAACTCTTTTTTCGGGTTTGATTTAATCTCATCCTTTCATTGGTCTCTTCAGTTTTGGGAATAGGAAAATGTTGCACGGAGCCATAAGTCCATTATAGCTCAGGGGGATTGATTTTAAGCATACCTGAGGTATATAATCTACCTCAATGTACATAAAACACTATAGATATAGAAATTAATATGTTCGTCTAAGTCATGGTAGCAAACATTGATTTGCCGCACGTTGATACTACGGCTTATTATTCAATCAATACAGTTAATGATAAACCGACATCTTTTTGCGGAACTACGTGTCCTTTTTTATTTTAGAAGATGCCATTTGGCTTGCAGGACATCGAGTATTAAAATCCGATTCAGATAATATCAAAATATGGGTTGCTTTTAGCAGTCATTGGTGTACTGGCTGTTACATTCCTGTTTGGCATAGCAGCCAAGTTCAATTGCCATTATTAATCTCAATTGAAATAGTTTTTAAATTATTATTAAAAGATGCTAAAAAAAACATTACCCATTTAAAATGAAAGGTTAATTGCGAAGTATGCATACATATGTATATATGTATGAATGGCTACTTAAGAGGCAGCTGGAAGCAAAATACCTGAAACTCCAAAGAAACCCCACATGTCAATAAAACACTACGACCCTGCCACTGGCCAGGACTCTTAACTAACAGCGCTCTCACTAATTTATTTACCTAAATCTTAACGAGGTACAGCAGGATGCTGACGAATTCATAAATTGCTTTTGGAAACAATCTCCAGCCCTAAGAGCCCCCTTCTGGCAATGGCGGTCTCTCGTGCGCAAGTATTCTCAAATTTGTTCATTTGATGACCTTTATGTAACTAATTGTGGCCTTTATATAACTAATTGCCAATTTAAGTAGCAAGCCATTCAACTTATACAACTGACTATTCAATTTAAAATGGAATAAAGCTTTCTATTCAAATATACTGAATATTGTACGCAACTGTCATAACGCTATGAACATTTCTACAGAACCGACACTTATAACACTATTAGTATAGCTGCACATTCCGACTGTCAGCCAAACAGTCACTTAGTCCCACTGCGCTTTTCAGCGTCCACTGAAATGCTCAATTGCATTTTTTATGGCATAGTATTGGAGACTATAAACGTGCAGGAATCGTTTCAAAGATGCTATTAAAAACGCCCGCGCTGTGAAGTAAAATGTTGTAATATTGGAACGAAGTGCAATTTGTGTGAATTCCACAGAAGAGAAGAACTACATATTTCAACGACCCAGTCGTGCCGACAACTCTCGGTGCTTGCGTAATTTATTTACGGAAAAGTTTTTGTCGAGCCATTGCCTCAATGGTTGTCACTCAACCCACAAGCTAAATGCCTCTGACTTGCATTTTACTGACAATTTCAATTTCTGCCTTGTCTTTGTATTTTACGTACAAGTAGTTCTTGTTCTTGTTCTTTTTGTAGTTGTTGATGTTGTTGTTGCTACTGTTGCTGTTGTTGAGCCTTCCACGCGCTCGTAATGTGTTTGCCCTCGTACTTGAACGTCTTGCCACAAGCCGCTGCCATTATTTTGCCGTAAAGGACAAGTTCATAGAAATACATACACCCACTAAGCTCACAAACACACACACCAGGCACACACACAAGCACAAAGAGGCACAAATAGTAGGTAGAAGTGCACCCGCATGCGTTCAGTCTTTGTACATTCTAGCCGATTTTCGTATTATCCTTGTGCAAGAGTTAAAGAGCCTTGACGATGCCTTATAGTTTCGTTAGCGTTTAGTTCCTCTGCTCGCACAATGTCTCAAATTCGATTTTTCTAGACATTAATTAGATTTTTTTCAATTTTTGAAACACAATTGCAATCCTTTTTAAAGACGTTTGTCAATCATAGTTTTGATTGAAGCGAAACTCTAGAAACAATAAAAAGTCAATTACCAATTATTATTTTATATAGTGTTTTCCATCAATTGGTCTTACGAGTAATAATAATATGACTTTAGAAAATATATATACATATAGTTGTATATATTTTTTTAAATAGTAATGGAATAGCTACTGCTCCCCATTTGGGAGAAAAACATCGATAAGCATGAGTATCAAATTTTTTCTATGGTTTTCAATGATGGGTATAAGATTCTATAAAAAATCTACTGGTTGGCATCAGAGATAATATGCTGTAGCTTATTGATTTTATTAAAGATGTAGTCGGGTGTTTGCCAGCATTGTACATTTAATTATATAGATCATCTGGTTCCAAACGCTTCTGCAATATCCTTGGGGAATATTTTAGTGTTGTATGGGAGAGCCAGTAAGTCGATTTATGTTGTTTGACTTACAATTTCCCAACAAAATTAACCATGATTAACACTATATATTTACATTCTTGTTTATTTGAAAATATTAATGGTGACAAAGAGAAAATTTGCGCAAATCATTTTTTCTATTACTTTTTCTATTATTTTGTTTTTATTTGAAGGCATTTAATATTTAATTTAATATGCAGTTCAATAATTCCTCCACTCGCGTGGTAGAAACGTTTTTTATAGCTCGTGTTTATGAGGATTTAATTTAATAGTTCAGTTGTTAACGAAGTTATTGCCATAAATGTAATCTCCACCCGAGCATACACATAAAAAAATAACTGATATTCTGTGAAATAACTACAAAAAAACGAATTAAATATGCAAATTTAACACAAAATAAAAATCAGCAGAAAAAAAGTATTACTAGTATTACCTAAATGTTTGTTTAACATCATTTTGTCAAGCAAATATTAATGCTGAAAGGCACCTCACAGCTGCTGAATATTTTGGATTTGTCTCCAAATCTCTAAAGTCCCGACTGAAACTAAAGTTTCTACAGGTTGAAGAAGGAGGTTGAGAAGACATTGCTATTATGCAGTTACTTCTTTCTTTCTTTCTTTTCTTCTCGACAAAAATACTTTTTCGGACCATAGTGGCTTACCTAACCAAGGTCCTATAACTGCTCCTGTGACTGCCTACTGCGTAAATTCTTTCAACTGGCTTGTTGGCTGCCCTCAAGAAGAAATGGTTGCGCAAGCGTCCATTTCAGAATGTTACGAGTTGGTATGCAAATGTTGTTTATTTGTTGTTGTTGGTTTTTTTTGTTCCTGCTGCTGAAGTCAGTGAAAGTGGAACTTGTGCTGATGAGCGACAAAGTGTCCTTAGGAGGGGCAGCTCTGTGCATGCACAGATAAATTTTTCCATATGCATGAGTGCTCATTGTAGCTCGCATGGCAATCTGTTATCGAAAGCAACGGCCTGCAGTGTTTTTGTTCGTATTCCTGCACCGACTCCTCCTGCTCCTGCTGTTCCTGTTGCTCTTGTTGTTTTTAGAGGCCAATGTTTCATTAAGTGTAACGGCTTTTAGCTTGCTCTATGCGCTTTACAAACAAATGCACACAAGGGTGCACCGTCATGTTTGCTAATGAGTGTACACCCATACTCACACCCACTGCCACCCGCTACCCCCCCACATGTGTAAATAGACTTGCGGAAAAATGATATTAAATTCTCACTGCACGAACTTAGGCGCCAACGCCATATGTATATAACTATAAATGTATATACACACACTGCATTGAAACTTCTGCATGGTCTGGCTTAACGCCCATGCCCATGACTCTTAAAACCCTGCACTCATTCCAAAAAATGGTTTTGTTAAATAAATAAATAAATAAATAAATAAAACAATTTAAATAAATAAATAAAATAATTTAAATAAATAAATAAAACAATTTAAATAAATAAATAAAACAATTTATATAAATAAAGAAAACAATTTATATACTTGTATCTATTCTTTTTTCAATTATAGGAATTATATT